TCTGGTAGACCCCGAACCAATTTCTTGTTTGAGATCTTTGAGATTTGTTTCATACTGATGTGTCCCAATCTTCTGTGCCACAGATCTTCATCTTCTTTGATTGAGATCAAGCAATGAGTGGATTTTGAATTAACATCAAGAAGATAAATATTGCCATGTCTTCTTCCCGTAAAAGTTTGAGAAGAATCTTTGCTTGTTCCTGAGCATGTATCTTCTTGAAAGTTGATTCTAAACCCTATATCACATAGCTGGCTTATGCTTATCAAGTTGTAGTTGAGTCCTTTTACCGATGAAACATCATTGATTTAAGTCCTCCAATTTCAACCGTTCCTTTGCCAATGATTTTTCCTTTGGTATTTCCTCCAAAAGAAACTTTTCCACCATTCAGACTTTGTATCTCAATGAATATGCTTGGATCTCCTGTCATGTGTCTAGAGCATCCACTGTCTAGATACCACTTCCTTTTTCTCTTTGTGGTAACCTGCAAAAATTACAAGATCTCAAGTTTTCTTTGGTACCCAGATTTGTTTGGGTCCTTGAGGATTAGTATAGGCAGTCTTAACAAAATCTCTTCGAACATGTCTCCAGACCTTAGGACATTCATTCTCAAAATGTTGTGAATCTCCACATTTTGAGCACCTGAGTGCACTTCGGCCAACAGGTTTGACAAAATTCTTTTTGAAATGATTTTTATAAACTTGTCGAGGAGGTCTTTGTCTTAATCTCTCATTGACCTTTGGAAAATCAATCAAACTGTCACTTTCCTTCACAAATCCGAGACCAAATTTGTTATAGTAAGGAATTTGGATGGAAAGGATATGCTTCAAGGTTTCTGAACTTTTTGAAAACTTGGAAGTAATTTCTGTAACTTTCTTTTTCAAAACAGCATTTTCTTTGGAAAAAAAATCCCGACTTTCCTTGATTTGATGAAATTCTTTTTGAAGGAAATCAATTTTTTCTTTTTGTGAAATATCCTGTTGCCTCAGAGATGAATTTTCCTTTTTCAATGAAGAGATTCTTTTAAGAGCAGTCTTAAATTCAAAGCATAATTCATCAATATAATTTGATACTTCAATAGACATTTCATTTTGCTTTACCTCGATTTCCACTTTAGGATCAGAATCTGAATCTGAGTCTAAATCTGACTTTGCCATAAGACAGAAATTTGAGATATCTTCATCATTATCTTCGCACTCTGTGTCACTCCAGGTTTCTGCTTTTAAGGCCTTCTTTGCTTTCTCAAATTTGGTCTTCTTTTTCAGAAGTGGACAATTTGACTTGATATGTCCACGTTTCCTACAATGAAAGCATATTATATCCTTTGATCTCTCTATTTCTTCGATAGACTTCTTTTTCTCAAAAGGCTTCTTCCCTTTGAGGTTTCTTCCTCCGATCTTCATCTTCTCATACTTCTTTATGAAGATAGCTAGTTCTTCATCGTCCACATCTTCATCTTTAGAATCTGCATCAGAATCAATGTTAGTTTTTAATGCAATTGACTTATTACCTCTGGATTCATTCTCCTCATTCCGATGCTCAATCTCATATGATTGAAGAGTTCCAATCAACTCATTCACTAATAGAGGCTTGATCCTTTGTGTCTCACGAAGAGAAGTTTTGATATTGTCCCATTTGTTTGTCAGACCTCTCAGAAGTTTGTTGACTTTCATAGCGTCTATGACTGGTTGTCCTTGATATGCAAGACCGTTTACTATGTCAGTAAACCTGTCATACATGTCAGCAACTGATTCTTCAGGCTTCATTTTGAAGGATTCATGTTGACCAAGCAACAGATTGATCTGAGTTTCCTTGGCTCGATCGGTTCCTTCATAAGTAATGTGAAGCGTATCCCAGATTTCCTTAGCTGATTCACAAGCAGCAATTTTTTTATATTCAATGGGAGATAAAGCACAATAGAGAGAATAAATTGCTTTGGAATCTAAGGTTTCTCTTTTAGATATCTCAGTTTGAGATAATGGAGGATCTGCTGCTTTGCTAGCATCTGCCTTTTCTTTTGAGTCAGAAGATTTTGGATTGACTCCTTTGATGATGACATCCCATTGCATGTGATCAATCGATTTTATGAATGCCTTCATCTTGTTCTTCCAGACACTATATTCCTTGCCATCAAAATATGGTGGTCTGTTGTTACTCTGTCTTTCAATGAGCCCTGGAGCACCAAAGCTAGCCATATAGATCGTTAGCTCAGAAGTAAAACACTTCAGTAAATGAGCAACCTGCTCTGATACCAATTAATGTAGCTAGCAAGGATCACCTAGAGGGGGGTGAATAGGTGATCTTAAACAATTTTTATTAATTTATGCGGAAATGAAAGAACACAGATGAGTCTGAATAATATTCAAATTCAAGACAGATTATACAGACAGTGCTCTTAATGTGCAGTGTGTAAATAAAGAGATAAGGGATAGAAAAACTGCACACAAGTTTATAGTGGTTCGGCTTATAGTAAGCCTACGTCCACTCTCCCACGCTTACAGCCTACTGGCTGGATTTCACTATGTAATCAAGAGGAATTTACAGAATCTGAGTGATAGCACTCTCGTGTATGATAGGACTCTCTATCTCACACAATCACTCTTACAAAATAACCCTCAAGATCTTAATTTTTGGCTCAAAATAATAAGAGAAATGATTGGAGTATGCTCAAACTTTGGACTTGTTGATTCGTGAATCTGTGCTACCTTTTGCTGCTCGTTGATCTCCTTAAATACTCCTCTACTTCCAAACTAGCCGTTGGACAGCTATCAGAGGATCATCTTCCAATCTTCACCTTGGACAGATTTGTATAGAAAGGATTGAGTAGCCGTTGGATTTACAGATTCTGAATCCCGCTGATTCTGGTCGCCCATATAACCAGAATCTTGATTTCCATAAGTAGAGCTTTATCCGTTATAATGTATACTTGTCATAGTATTTGATTGTCAATTAATTATACCCTTAGATTGAAACAATCAAAACTTTCCTTCTGTAAAATCCATGCCAGATCACTAGCTGTTATGTTTCGTTCTGAATTTTGCGTCTGAAGAATTTTCTGCGTCTGCGTTTGCTTCTATAAAATTTCAGCTTCTGCGTCTGCTTCTGAAAAATTTCTTCGTCTGCGTCTGAATAATTCCTACATCTGAATTTTAGAACTTAGATTATGTGGGTCTTCAATACGACATGAATCAGTTTGTAAAGTCTGAAAAATTTCTTTCTGAACTTCCAGAACATATATATACCTGGAATAAGATAGTTCAGAATTAGATTCACAAACATATGGAAAGTTTTGTCAACTTCAAAATCAATAGGGGTTTTCCTTAACAACATACTCCGCCCCTGGTAGGACAACGTCCATTTCCATGTCTTTCTCCACACACTCGACATGGACCATTCTGAAAACGGGCCGGTTTCCCTATGTTCCTTCTAACAGGAAGAACAAAGCGCCGATTACTCGTCATTGACCTCTTTCCCAACTGACAGTTATCCCTACCCTGGGCAAATCTCGACCCAGAAGCGGCGGCCCTATCCGCCAAGTTCCGCTCAATCGCTTGAGCCCTATCATAAATCTCGTTATACTCTCTCAAATTCAATAAGATCATTTGGCTGCGAAGGTCCGGTTTCAAACCGTCTCGGAACCTCCGAGCCCTATCCAACGGATCCTCAACCATCTTCGGGGCAAACTAAGACAACCGAGCAAATTCAGACTCGTACTGATCTACTGTCCTCTGCCCCTATCGTAGCCTCATAAACTAAGATAATTTCTGTTCTTGGGCACTCTCAGAAAAATATTTACCATTAAAGGTTTCAACAAATATCGCCTAAGTCTGGGCGGTACCAGCCGGAAACACTCTACCTTTGATGGCTTTCCACCAATCATTTGCATTTCCTTGCAATTGATATACTGCTAATGTCACTTTCTCCTCATCTGTACATCCCAACACCTCAAAAGCCTTCTCTAATTCCTTTACCCACAACGATGCACCCTCAAGATCGCCTCTACCATCGAACTTAGGAGGCTTTAATTTCAGAAACTGCTCGACTAATTTGTGCATCTGCCTATTCACATTCACCTGCCCCTACCCTTGATTCTCATTATTATTATTGGCAGCAGTGGCCTCAGCAGCTTGGGCAATAGTGGCAACTCTTTCCTGAGTCTGCCGTTCCATCAGGTTACCAATCTCCTCTAAGGTCCTCATAACCGCATCCATTCTCGGATTTCCTGCAGGTCGGGTTCGCGAACTGGATGCACCTCCGGTTCCTCTACCTCGCGAACTCATCCTCACGATTATCTACCACTCGACTACCTGCTATAATTCCATACAGGAATTAGAAACCTAGGCCAACTATACCAGTCTAGTCCTAGGTAGTGAATTAATGCAATAATTCACTCGGCAGGTAATCAATCATCACAGCACAAGGTCACAATCAATAGGGTCTGTGCACTTACCTCAGGTCCAAACGCACCTACATTTCAATCGTTATAAAAACCCATTCACCCAACAATCACAACAAACAATCTGGAGGTACGTGTAGCTCATTCCACCCCATGACTTGCTAAGATCTCCCTAAATTACTACCCCAGGGTCTCTGCTCCTTATCACTCTAGACTTCGACCAACTTAGATCGAGCTAACCTCGCTCTGGTACCAAATTAAACAGTGATGTCACGCCCCGAAGCCTATCAAGCGCGCGACATCCCAAGCTCGGTCGAATTCGTGCGACGTCCCAGGGTATCGCCGACCCAATGAAACTTATCAGAGATTTATACCAGTCAGCGAAGCCATAAATTCCCAGACAATAATTGACTAGGGGTAACAAGGGAGTAAAACACATCCATTCTCTATTTAAACTTATATAATATCCACAATTTACAAACCATAATATTTACAAGCACACCGAACCCCTAAACTATAAACCACCGACGTCCAAAAAAGATCGATAGCCTGGGTATCTTATCTCCAAAAATGGTACACTCCAAAAAGTCTACTCCCAACCCCCACACTAGCCTCTACGCCCTCTGCTTGGCGTCCACTCACAGTCAGATTCCTCATCACCCGCATCTGAACTCCCCTGAACTGTCGGCTCCTCTGAGGACTCCGGTTCAGCCTCGATATCGATTGGATTGTTTATGTCATCCGACTTTGCTGGAGCATCGACTCGCTCCTCTTCAACTGGGTCCTCGTCCGACTCGTCCTCAGGCACAAATTCGGGATCATACCATGGTTCATACTCGGGTACGTCCTCCGGTTCCTCTTCAGGCTCTGCTTCAGGCTCTACCTCTGGGGCCTCTTCAGGTTTTGCTTCAGGGTCTTCTTCTTCTTCTTCTGGATCCTCCTCCGGAATTACCTCCAGGTGTACATCTATGGGGTCGTACCCTGCCTGAGACTCCTCCGGCTCCGGGTCAGGTTTGGCCACGGTAGGTTCAGGTGCTACAGGTGCATGCTGATGCCCTGACTGCGCCAGACTAGTCTCCAAGCTAGTCATCTCGCCATCGGGCGGGGGTATAGCTGACGGATCCCAATCCCCAACGCCATCAAAGGGTACGTTGAAGCCTCGGACGGGACCAAACTCGTCTATCCCATCTTTGAACATCCAAGCTGTATAAGTGTAGGCCTGCCAGAGGGGTAGTTCTATGTCTACCCAAACTACAGAGGTATGCTTTACCCAGGTCATGTTGTCGTCTATAGTGTATTCTATAACGTCATGGTCGGTATGCATAGGAATCCCAAAACGCTGCGGCGGCAGTGGCGGAAGATTCATGGCTCAAGCCGGGGTTCTGAAATTGTTGGTTAAAACAACCATGAGATCACATCTCAATAAGTACACCCCCTAAACCCCACCTAGGCTATCACGTACCTCCAGACAAATCAAACATAACATCATCTAATAAACACACCATTCACACAATTGTACTTACCTGGCCTTTTCATGCGTGCAACCTGCACATTAGCCTAATAACATAATTGCCAACCACATGTATATTCCCAAAGCATTTCACACACGAATTTCACTCGACTCGCCAGTGACCTGCGTAATGGTACCACCTCAGGTTCACTGCGACCATCTCGTACTTTCTACTCAACTCGCCAGTGACCCGCGTAATGGTACCGCCTCAGGTTCGCTGCGACCATCTCATATATACAACACTCCTGGGCCCGCGTAATGGTACCGCCTCAGGCATGTATCTTGTCCGCGTAATGGTACCGCCTCAGGCTCAACATCCGTCTTCTAGTGCACAACCCGCGTAATGGTACCGCCTGAGGTTGGCCATATTCACAACACTTCTCGGCCCACGTAATGGTATCGCCTCAAGCCATGTATCTTGCCCGCGTAATGGTACCGCCTCAGGCTCAACACCTACCACCTACTGTACAACCCGCGTAATGGTACCGCCTCAGGTTGACAGTCTTCCGGTAATACCGGGCATCGTCCCGCGTAGTCGTATCGCCTCAAGACGGATCAATTCTCCGCATAATGATACCGCCTCAGGGATTCTCACAACCACACATACCACACCACACAGGATTTCTCACTCGTTCATTTACTTGACACCCACATGCCAATAAACTGGCCAATCACACTTGGTCCTTGCACGCATCAAATCACACATATTTCTCATGTTTAATAATCACCCAACACAGCCAATTGTCATTCAAATTCAATTCAGCCCAAGCGTGCACATAATAGCCCACATTCAAATCAATTAGCTCATGATCAAACAGACAAGGCCACTCATGAGCTCACAATCACAGCCAATATCTCGAGCATAAATTCGACATTTCCAAACTCATTTCAAGTCACAACGAACATCACAATTCAGCCACCATACCACGCACCAAACGGACACCATTTGTCCCTAAATCGGACCATATGCTCCTCATTTCACGCCCCAAATTTCAGCACTCAACTCCACATCAAATCAATCCCGAAACATCACAAATTCACTCACAATTCAACCAATTAAAGTTCCCCAAGTCGGTCTACCCATATAACCCCTAAACCGACACTAATTATCCCGATTCGGTTCTAATTTCGTCCGTCGATACCCGAAGTCCTAAATAGAGTTTAGGGCGCGACTTACATGAACTCTAGACTAGCTCGGCTAGAGTGGAAAGGGGGCAGCGATCAGCGGTGAGCGGCGGCGAGCGATGAGGCGGTGTAGGCGGACGGCGAGCGGCGGTGCGGCTTCCTTGGCCGCTGTTCATGGCCGCGAGGGGAGAGAGAGAGAGGGAGAGACAGCGTGAGGGTGGTGGTGCGGCTCGGTGGCGGGACGGCGGTGGCACGGCGGACGGCCGGACGGCGGCGACGCTGCCGAGGGAGAGGGGCGGTCGACGGTGAGGGGGATAGAGAGAGTGGGAGCCGAGAGAGGTGAGAGAGTGAGGAGAGAGAGATATTGGACTTAATTAGTCCAAAGTTAATAATTGAAATGCCAAAAAGACCATCATGCCCCTCTCTCATAAATTCAATCGACGGCCAAGATTTGATCTTATCTTGAGATCAACGGTCCGGATCGAATCTTTTCCAAAAATATCCAAGGGCAATTTGGGGATTTCATAAAAATCCAAGGGCAAAATTGTCATTTTATAAATGTGACATCCTAAAATTTGCCCATTTGGGGATTTATAAAATGCTTGATTTTATGAACGTACTCGTAGTTAGTTCTCGCCCGGAACTGATCATTCCTGGGATACTAACCATTAGGGAAAGGTTAATTAGGGATTTAAATTCGTGCGACCAAAGAACTCGATCGTGAACCGACTTTTGACCATGAAAATTGTCGAGATGACATTTTGAGCCAGTGTACGCCGATCCAAGGATAGCTAGGGATCAGTTTGCCATTTTCACATTAGTGGATCGCGGGTGATTCCGTTTGACCACGAAATGAATTGACGAACGACCCTAAGCCTATACCAAATGATCGCGTCCGTCGGATCTAGCGATCGACCCTCGCGATTAAGTGACAATCAAGGTCGGCACGACCCGAGCAAACTTGAACGTGACTTGATTTAGTATCGGCCACAGGTCAAAAATGCGAATTTCCCCAAATGCTGCCCGTTAGTTTGAGAAACGCTCGAATTACGCTAAATAAAATTCAATTATTAAATTAAAGCCCAAATTGGACATCGGAAAATTAGGAAGTCACGACAGAACGTTAGGACGACGTTGTGATTGGAACGTACAGTTTTGGATCTTCCCGAATCCTTCAGAAAAATTCAAATTCGGCAAGAAATTGAAAAGTGACCATTTTACCCTTGGAGGTTTATAAAGGGTAAGTGTTAAGAGGGATGAGCATTTTGGTCATTTTGCCCTAACTTTTGAGTTGGACAATTTTGCCCTTGGAATTTTATGAAATTCCCAAATTACCTTTGGATATTTTAGAAAAGATTCGATCCGGGCCATCGATTTCAAGATAAGATCGAATCTGGGCCGTCGATTTGGATTGTGAGAGAAGGGCAAGATCGTCTTTTGGGCATTTCAATTATTGACTTGATTATTTAAAGCCCAAAATCCTCTCTCTCTCCTCACTCTCTCACCTCTCTCTCTCGGCTCCCTCCCCTTCTCTCTCTCCCGATCGCCCTCTCCCCCTTGGCCGCTCGCCGCCGCGCCGCCGCCACCGGCCACCGCCCGTCGCCGCCGCCCCGCCTCACCACCCTCACGCCGCCGTCCCTCTCTTTCTCTCCCCCTCACCCTCTTGGTTCTCTCTCTTTCCCTCTCCCATGGCCGTGAGGAACCGGCCCAAGCCGCCGTCGCCGCCGCTCACCGCCGAGCTGTCCGCCGCTCGCCGCCGCTGCCAGCTGCCTAGAGTTTGGGTAAGTTCAATCTAAACCTTCGCCTAGTTTATCGGGTAATTTCGGACCCGTTTAGACACAGATTAGTATAGTTTTAGGGGCGGAATTGGTTAGCGGGCCTTAGGAATGAATTTGGGAAATTTTGGTGGAAATTTAGAGGCCGAGTATATGCTGGAAATTGCTGGTTTGAATGCTGGAAAATGCGGGTCGGTATGCAAATTGGGTATTTGGATTAGGCGATTAATTGTGTGAAAATGTTGTGAAGAGCCGGAATTGATTTGCCGTAGTTTGGATGTAGAAAAATGGCAATTTGTATGTTGATTGTGTGTTTGTAATGTGGCTGAATTGTGGTGATGAATTTGGCTGCATTAATGTGCAATTGATTGATGCTCGAGCGTGTGCACGTGTGAGATTTGAGACATGCGATATGCGTGTGATCACTAAAAGGTCCTGAGGCGTGTTTACGCGGGGTTCAGATAAAATATATGGTATGCGAGTATGTTCGTGTGATCACTAAATCCGTGAGGCGTGTTTACACGGGGAATTGAACCGGCTTGAGGCGTGTTTACGCGGGTCGTGATACGACTGTGGGATCGGACCGACGCGTGTGATGCTTGGGGCGCGATCGTGTGGGCCTGAGGCGTGTTTACGCGGGCCGAGAAAAGTGATTGAGAATGAGACGTGTGGTATGGCAAGTGAAAGTGAGATCGGGGCTGAGGCGTGTTTACGCGGGTCGCGATGGGAAAGTGAGAGCCTGAGGCGTGTTTACGCGGGCTAAGAAAGTGATTGAGCAAGTGTTGGTACGATGAGGCAAGATAAATAAAAAAACGATGTGATGGTGTGTGATCGAGCGTGAAATGTGGGCTGGAAATGTGGTGTGAACGATATGTGTTTTGGGCATGGAAATGCGTGTGGTTTGGGGTGCGTGAAGTTTGAAATGCGTGCGAGTTTTGAATGTTGTGATTATGAACTAACATGCAGGCTGAGTATGCCGAGAGTCCAGGTAAGTGCGATTGCATGGATAGTGTTTGTTTGTGTTGCTCGTTTGTGTGTCTGAACTTGTCTAGAATACGTGGTAGCCTAGGTAGGGGTTTAGGTTGCAACTTATTGAGAAGTGTCTCATGGTTGTTTCAACCAAACCATTTCAGAGCCCCCGCCCGAGCCATGAACCTTCTGCCGTTACCGCCGCAGTGTTTTGGGATTCCCATGCACATCGATCATAAGGTCACAGAGTATCCCGTAGACGAGATTCATACCTAGGTTAAGCACACTTCGGTAGTTTGGATAGATATAGGACTACCCCTATGGCAGGCTCATACGTATACGGCATGGATGTTTAGGGACGGAGTGGATGAGTTTGGACCCGTTCGAGGATTCGATGTACCCTTTGATGGAGTAGGGGACTGGGATCCGATGGCCGTAACCCTTCCCGACGGGGAGATGACTAGTTTGGAGACTAGTCTAGCTCAGTTAGGGCATCAGCATGTCCCTGCAGCGCCTGAGCTGACCGTAGCAGTGCCGGATCCGGAGCCGGAGGAGTCGCAGGCCGGGTATGACCCGATGGACGTAGATCTAGGTGGGATACCCGAGGTAGGACCGGAGGATGGGGACGAGGAGGATCCCGAAGACGAGCCAGTGGATGAGCCGGAGGATGAGCCCGCAGAGGAGCCGGAGGATCAGGTTGAGGTTCAGCCAGAGTCAGGGGATGAGGATCACCCGATCGAGATTGAGGCTGATTCAGAGTCATCGGATGAACATGTGCCCGAGGATGACTCAAACGAGGAGGATGAGGAGAGCGAGTCCGAGTGGACGCCCTCCCGAGGGCGTAGGGGTTAGTTGCGAGGATGGGGAAGATTTTTGGAGAGTCTCATTTTTGGGTATAGG